GGTCACCAACAACACAGTCCAGTCGAAGGGCCACGCCTTCTGCCGAAACCCACTTCGCTTCAGAGATTCTCCTAATGGTACCGTCTCCTTCTCCACCACTTTCGTCTTTGCCTTCATCTCGAACTCGCGGACCTTGGCGGGGATGGGATGGCCTTCTTAGTTTCCCCCACCAAGGACTTCTCCGGAGCCTTAGGTAGTCAGTTTTTAGGCCTCTTCAATTCAAGCAGCCTCGGTAACTCGACCAACCATGTCCTTGCGATCGAGCTTGACACAGTCCGTAACCCCGAATTCCAAGATACTGATGATAACCATGTCGGGATCAATATCAACGACATGAAATCTGATGAGCCCCACACTGCTGGTTATTATCTGAATTACACAGGTTCGTTCCAAAATCTAAGCCCCGGTAGCGGCCAAACCATGCAAGTTTGGGTAGACTATGATAGCCATGAGATGCTACTTAACGTGACCTTAGCTTCAATCCCAATGGCCAAACCCCAAAAACCTCTCTTATCTGCGACCATCGATCTATCAAGCGTGCTAACGGATCCCATGTATGTTGGATTTTCCTCATCCACTGGTTCAATCCTGACGTCTCATTACATTCTGGGTTGGAGCTTTAACATGAACGGAGTAGCTCAAGCTCTCGACTATTCCCTACTACCCTCGCTCCCTCGTGTGAGACCCAAGCGAGGATCAAAGGCGTTGGCCATTTCACTGCCTCTAGCATCAGCTGGACTAGTTCTAATCGTCGTAGGAGTCGTGGCTTTCATCGTAAGATGGAGCGTCAAGTACGCAGAGCTCCTCGAGGACTGGGAGCTTGAGTACGGCCCTCATCGGTTCTCCTACAAAGACTTGTACGAAGCTACCAAGGGTTTCAAGGACAAAGATTTGCTCGGAATAGGCGGATTCGGAAAGGTCTACAAGGGGGCGCTGCAGACTTCGAAATCGGAGATTGCTTAGAAGAGAGTAGTATCTCATGAATCAAGACAGGGCATGAGGGAGTTTATAGCTGAGATAGTTAGCATCGGTCGCCTCCGCCACCGCAACCTTGTTCAGTTGTCGGGCTATTCCCGACGCAAAGGTGAGCTCCTGTTGGTGTATGATTACATGTCCAATGGCAGCCTGGACAAGTTTCTGCATGGCCAAGACAAGGCTACTCTGGATTGGGCGACGCGGTTCCGGATCATCAAAGGCGTGGCATCAGGACTTCTGTATCGACACGAAGATTGGGAGCAAGTCGTCATCCACCGAGACATCAAGGCGAGCAACGTGCTGCTCGACCACGAATTGAATGGTAGGTTGAGTGGCTTTGGCCTAGCAAAGTTATACGATCGTGGAACGGATCCACAGACCACCGGTATCGCGGGAACCATGGGTTACCTTGCTCCCGAGCTCCCTCGAACCGGCAAGGCGACCACCATGACCGATGTGTTTGCCTTTGGAACCGATGTGTTTGCCTTTGGAACCGAAGTGAGTGCATATGTGTGAAATCATAAGGTATGGAACCGTGTGACTATTACTCGCCACACTCGAATGAAACCTTGTTGACATGCAAATTTATTAACGTATCATATTTACATCATAACATGATGGCGAATTCGATCCTAAATTCCGATTCTTTGAATTGCTTTGAAATGCGTATGGATGATGAAAAGGTTATAAGGCTATGTTCAATTTTGAGCAATTGACCTTTTTGAATTAATTATTTGGATTAAAATAGCTTACATAGTGAATATTAGATGTTTTAACTGCACGCTTTGTCTACAACATCATTTTATTCATTGATTAATTATGCACATCTTGCGATCATGGATATGAACACACACACACACACAAAAAATCAATTATATTTATTTTTCTACAAAATTCGATGTGAACACGAAATGGTTAAGAGTTGCATCAAAATGATTGATCGTAAACATTTGATTCATAAATATCATGGGATATAGATCATTTAAGTCACATGAGTTATATTTATCTTCAATCCATATAGTTTGGACTAGTGAGACGATTGACATCTAGTATATCATGTAAGAAATTTATAATCGACATGTTTCTGAAAAGTAAAGATGCAACAAAAAATAAATAACATATAGATTTTAGATTTTAAAAAAAATAATTAAAACACTGATTTTTATCTTAATCTACTCTCGCTATTTTCTCATGAAACATACGACACCCTCCGACATGTGAATTGAAAATCTCCAATGAATTCCTACTGAGGATCGGGATCTAATTGACTTCTTAGTATGACCTCGAGAGACTCAACCAATCATACTAAACCTAAAATGATAGGCAACTATTGTCAATCATAATCTCTTATGATTCTTTTCCTGTTCATCCTCTAAACCATCATGGTCTCGAGGGACTCAATCAACTATGATGTTTGATTAAGTTAGCACAATCATTACAAGATAAGTCTGATTCGATGATATACCCTTAAGAGACTCGACTAAGTATACCATGTCCTTAGGTTACCGATGATATCTCTATGTCATAGGCAAGATCTCAAATCCTAATATAGGTGAGCCTCGAGGGACTCAACCAACTCAGCCCATATCGAAAATTGATTTCCGTCTATGATGATGGAAAGTTGCATGGGTTAATCTAATTATCTTATATTTATTAACTTAATAGTATTATTGGAGGAATTTTTAATTTTGGTTCGAACTCATAGTTAAATATATTGTGTCATACATATATATTTAACATATATTTACATGGCATGCAAATATATATATACCTAATAGGTATAAAAATATATATTACATATATAAACACACATCCACACTGAATGATCATGGACTATAACCCATAGTGATCAGGCCTGAGCCAAAATGCATGATTATATACATAAAGATCTATGTGTGTCTCGGTATATTTTCATGTCCGATGATCGTTCATCTCATCCCATCGGTCTCATCAACACCTCGGTGCATCTCCATGCTTGACGAACATTTGTCTCATCCTCATGGGTTCCGCTAGTACCTCCACGCTCCCACCATACTATCTTATGCAATTATAAATTAATTACAAGCACACAGACCCAAAAAAAAGTACATATTTTATAAATGAGAAAAATTGATCTTATCAAGTGGAGGTACAACATCGAGGGAGATAGAATTACATGTTATATATAATAAGGGAGAGTAGGCCGCTTACAAGTCTCAATAATAATCACATACATACATACACATCATTACACATGACCTATGACCATTTGTCCATATCATACATCATAAGCAATATGCATATATAGGACTAACTAGATAATAATTAATTAAACTACTTAATTAATATTTGAATTAACCCTTAATTCAATTTGGGAGACTGTACAGTTTTAGGGAGCCCCATGTGGCCCATGTGGCCAAGAAACCCTAATCGTGAGGGCTGGCTGTGGCCTGACAATCCTCAACCAGGGCTACAAGTAGCTAATGTTGCTCTCGGCTAGGGCTACAAGTAGCCTCATGTGGCTAAGAAACCCTAATTGTAAGGGTTGGCTGTGGCCTAACAGTCCTCAACCAGGGCTATAAGTAGCCAATACTGCTCTCGGCTAGGGCTACAAGTAGCCCTTAGCCAAATTTGCAAGGCAGCAACCTTTGCTACCCTTCTTCCCTTTCAAAACTAATCTCCAAAAGTTTTTAGGTAATAAAATAGTTCATACGCCAAAAACTACGCTGATCTATTCTCGAATCGACAGAAACACAACTTTAAGCAAAAACTAATTCTACGTGATTCAACACAACTTTGCACGAGCAACTAGTTCTGATACTACTATTGGAAACTATAGAGAACATCACATACGCAGTAGAAAATAAAAATAAAAACTAGTTCAAAAAACTCAAAAACAATAAAATTGTATAACTTCATAAAGTGATTGAGACGTTCTCGGGAGATCATATATCTCATACTATGCATATCCTAGTCCATCGATTAAAAAGTTGTTATAAACTCCTCTCTAGCGGTGATCCACGTAGCGGATGCGGCGATGATACACTTCATCTTGCAATATATTTTTTCCTCGTATTCTCGCACCATCGTACTGCAGCAATCAAGGAGGGATCTATAAGTTGGATTCCAACTCTGGAGGTTAGGCGAGAGGAATCTACGGGCACGGCACAGCACATCATTTAAAATCTACGCACACAGCCATGTCACTCTCGATCCGACACCACCGAGAATGACATTGGATCCCCCAAATCCATTGAAGACGAAGTCGTGGTTTCCACCTGCTAACAGTTCGGTGGAGGAGAAGCAGGCAGACCACCCAAGCGTTGAGCAGCGGTCACCATATATATCCTCGATATTCGAATGAGATTTACCCGTTTAATTGACCAAAGGAGCAACCTTAGACTCATCTCCTAATGTATTTATAAGATTAGATAAGCTATTTTTTGTTTATTTGAGGTGATTTGCCAACTTTGTGGGACTTGGTATTAGTCAGCATTAATCTCGTTAGACGAAGTCTGATAGAAAGGGATATTAACCAGACTACTTCATAAGATTTAAAAGAGTTGCATAAGATGCCAACTTGACTAATTGAATTGCAGCTCAGCTCAATTGTCATGTCATCATCATCTTTAGAACAGTACAATTCATATCAAAATTTGATGTTCTTAACTATTCCTCCCTTGACAACAGCACTCAACGACGCTATTGTCTTGTTTTTTTCTTTCCATATATTTACATCTCCATCCAACGAAATAGGAATTTTTATGCTGGATTTCGAAACTTTCAAGTCAATGGATCCAAGTCAACTGCACTCTACAAGATGGAATTAAAGGAAAGATGAAGAATCTATGGATGAGATCATTAGACATCACAAAATGATGTTGACAACCGATATGCCGAAAACTTGGACCTGAAGCAGCTCAAGCATCGGGTCACGCAAGTTCAATTTAATTCCGGAAAGCTCTATTCGAACCCTATTCGTCAAACAGTGATGATGGTAGATTTTTGGCTTGAACAAGTGTAACTTACTGATAGTGTGGAAGTGTATGCAAATAGTTCCGTTCTTGCTATTGTTCGATGCAGATAGCTGTGTAGGTCAAATATGTTCAGATAGCTCCGTCATGTAGATCATCACCACCATTCAAAGCTTTAGCTGCAGATGACCAAGTGAAAGAAGAACCAAAGATTTATATTTGACCTTTGGCAATAGAACTGGATTTTAGACTCGGTCCTTTATGATCCGGTTCTCTCTCATCACAATTGAGTCGAATTAAATGAGATTTACAAGTTGGATGGTGTAGGTTTACAAGCTTTAATCAATTTGATGAAATAGAAGATGATTTTAAGTATATGTTTTTGCTGGGTATTTCACAGAGCACCTAAATCTAGTCATCTGAGACTGGTTGGAACCTTCAACCTCTTTGCGCTTATATATATCAGTGGGTGATATTATCTGTTCTTCTGAGTGCTTACTTTCGTATGTGGTGACTATGAGACACCAAAGCCAACAGCACTCTCCTCCTATCTGTCAATCCAAAACTAGCGTGAAGAAGCTCTGTAACATGTCGACAGTGTTTCTTAGGACTTTGGTCTGCCTCCTCCTCCTCCTCTTCCACCTAAAGCTTGCAGCCTCTAGCGGTGGTAATGATAGCTTCACCTTCAACGGATTCGGACGCCTCAATCTTACCTTCGATGGGGTGGCCAACGTCACCTCCGATGGTCTGCTGAAGCTCACCAACATGTCAAAGCAGTCGAAGGGCCATGCCTTCTACCCAACCCCGCTTCGTTTCCGGAACCTGACGAACGGTACAATCTTCTCCTTCTCCACCACTTTTGTCTTCGGCTTCATCTCAGCATACACCAACGTTAGCGGGAACGGGATGACTTTCTTCGTGTCTCCCACCGAGGACTTCTCTGCAGCCTTAGGAAGTCAGTTCTTGGGCCTCTTTAACCAAAGTAGCGACGGTAACTCGAACAATCATGTCCTCGCGATTGAGATTGACACGAACTATAACCCCGATGTTCTGGATATTGATGACAACCATGTTGGGATCGATATCAACGGCGTGATATCCAACGCATCCCACGCTGCTGGTTATTACGCTAACGACAATGGATCGTTCACATATCTAAGCCTTAGAAGCGAAAAAGCTATGCAAGTTTGGATAGACTATGACGGCCATGAGATGCTGCTTAACGTGACCATGGCTCCAATCCGAATGGCCAAGCCGCATAAACCTCTGTTGTCCGCCACCATTGATCTCTCAAGCGTGTTGTTATCAGATCCCATGTATGTTGGATTCTCCTCCTCCACTGGTTCTTTCAAAACATCTCATTATGTTCTTGGTTGGAGCTTTAGGATGAATGGGATAGCTGAACCTCTCGACTACTCCTTGCTGCCATCGCTTCCTCGGGCAAAGTCAAATGGCAAGTCAAAGGTTTTGGACATCGTGCTGCCCTTGGCGTCGGCTGGACTTGCTGTGATCATCGCA